TACCAGTGCCCGTTGCTTTGGGAAGACCTAGGAGAGAAGACGTGGTTCGTGCTTCCTCTGTTTCTGTTTCAAAAACAATTATAATAATGCTCATGGATATTATTTTCTGAATAATTATTTGGGGCCTTGTATGCCTAATGATGCCAAGTGTGGCTTGAACACTTGTAATACGGTTTCTGCTGCTTTAAATGAATATTTTACATTATGTTTGTTTATGGATGTACTATGTGTGAATGGTATTCAAGACGCCTTGTATAGTATGGATGAGTTGAACTGTTGTTGACTATTCGTACTGTACGGCGGGTTGTCGACGTGTCTGGGTAGGTCCGGGGCGTGACACAAAGGGTCAGACATACTACATACATCACATAATTACAAAAGCAAATAAACATAAGAAGGAAGGGGTGACTTACGGAGGCACTATTCAGGAGAATCCTAGAATTGAGAGCATCATCGTCCATCCGAGCAAGCATCACCCTGTCCGCCGAGGGCATCACTTGGCTCATGTACACCGAAGGGCAAAGAGTAGCTTCCAGAACAGAGCTGCCCTTCGGCACGAAGGCCTTCAACTTTTCCCGGCCGAAGAAAGCCTCATTGACGAATTCCTAAGGCATGGAGCCGGAGCCGATGATGTCGTCCACGACAATCACTTCGTCAAAAACAGGCTGCTTGCCAAAGTCGGCCACCTTCTGTTTCTTTGCCGAGGGCTCAAGCTCCTTCCCGACTTTTTTCTTTTTCTGGGCCACATCGTCCTGAGAGCCCCCGGCTCCAGCACCAGCGGTGGCGGCTTGGGAAGGCTCCTCCCCCTCCTTCCTGAAGAAGGCATCCACTAGCTTCTGGACTGTCGGCTCCTTCGTCTTCTTGCTCTGGGCCTTGCCCCGCTGCCTCTTCAACGGCGCAAAAGAGTGGACGTCCATGTTGCTACCTGCAAAAGATAAACCAAATATAAGACCGAGGGGATAAAGGCAATAACAAGAATGAAACTATGAAAATATTTCTAAGTACAAAATGCTAGAGCCTTCAGGAACCACCTCCGACGCTCTCGTAAACCCGATCTATCATCGGATACTTCTCATCACTCTCCCCAAACAGGTGGTAGCGCCGGAAGCCCAAGCTATACAAGTCATCCGGGAGGGTGGCATCATCAATCGTCACCAAGTCCTCGGACGCCTCCGGCTTAGCTGATATCTTCTTTGCCGACATCTCGAAGCGGCACTCCCCACTTTCAGATGCCGCCAGAAATTGTCTCGAAGGGGCGTGGGAAACGGATTCTCCGCCATACGGATGTAGCAGAACCATTCCCTCCATCCTTTGTGGGACGAAGGAACCTTTGAGAACAACCTCCATTGCGAGACCTATTAGAGATTGGCAAAACCTTCGCTATTTACGTGACCGCCCTGGCACAGGTTGAAGCAGAGGAAGAAGAGGTCCAGGGAGGGCTCCACATCTCCGGAGCGGCAAAGGGATAGGAAGCCGGCGATATAGGAGTGGCTATTGGGAGTCAACTAGCAGGGGCAACTTTAAAAAATTCAAGTACTCCACCACGAACGGATGGAGAGGGAACCGAAGGCCTAGTGCCACCGAGAGGACATGCACGATGAAGCAGCCTTCGGGGGGGGGGGGGGGGAGACAACAGGTGAGTGGGTCCCGGTTCTACCACAGTCACCGAGGGCCCAACATATAGTTGAGTAGCGTGGTAGTCAGCCACTTCAGCTTTCGTCTTTAGATCGAGGGCCGCGGTATTCAGAAACGAATACCCGTCGGGAATACCGAAGGGCTTCCCGACATTTGCAACCGCTTGCTTTTTCCTGGAAGCTGCTTTCACCTTCTTCTTCTTCTTCTTCTTCTTCTCCTTCTCCTTCTCCTTCTCCTTCTCCTTCTCCTTCTCCTGCTTCTCCTTCTCCTGCTTCTCCTTCTCCTTCTTCTCCTTCTCCTTCTTCTCCTCCTCCTTCTTCTCCTCCTTCTTCTCCTCCTCCTTCTTCTCCTCCTCCTCCTTCTTCTCCTCCTCCTTCTTCTCCTCCTCCTTCTTCTCCTCCTCCTTCTTCTTCTCCTCCTCCTTCTTCTCCTTCTCCTTCTGCTCCTTCTCCTTCTCCTTCTGCTCCTTCTCCTTCTGCTTCTTCTCCTTCTCCTTCTCCTTCTCCTTCTTCTCCTTCTTCTTCTTCTTCTTCTCCTCCTCCTCCTCCTCCTCCTCCTCCTCCTCCTCCTCCTTCTTCTTCTTCTTCTTCTTCTTCTTCGACGGAGCGACTCTAAAGGGTTCCGGACTGAGGGCTCGTGATGTCCCGGCTCCACTGGCAATAGCCGAAGGGATATCGATGGTAACTTGCTGTCGCTCCTTCTCCTCCTCCTCCTCCTCCTCCGTAGTTTGAACGGCGAGGGCTAGCTCCTCGTCCTCGATCACATGCTCGAATTCCTCGGCCTCGGCCTCGGCCTCGGCTCTGAGGTTGCTCTGGACCTCCATGGCCACATCAGAATCACCGTTAGACGAAGCGTCATCATCTACTGACCTCTCATCCGACCAGGTCTCGGACTGGACCGGAGGTTCTATCGAGATATCTTGGGAATCACTTGCGGACGACATCCTTCGATAATATATTGGGGGGTCCAGGTGACAGAAACCCTAAGGCCACTAGCACTAAATCTAAAGGAGGCGAAGCAAAGTAGGCAAGAAATACCGAGAACGGAGCAAGAACTAAATTCGGTAGAAAAGGTTGGATCGAACAAGGGCTTTCTCTCTCTAGAAAATTTGGCAGAGCTTCGCTTCAACTAAAAATCGCACAAGGGAAATGGGTTCAGGACATGGGTATTTATAGCCTCCCCAACCACGATTCGGGCCTGAATCTGGGCCTCGGGTTGAAAGCCCATCAGCATGAACCGTCGCGTCAACCAACCGACGACACCCGCCCAGAACAAGCCAACTATCCATCGCCACGTGGCCGGCTCCCCCAACGGTCATATCCCAATGGCTATTTTTGAAACATTGAGGTGGCCTCAGCTGACACCCCTCAAACGACAACAAAGCAAGACCTTGAGTTATCAAATTCAAACCCCTTCATCCAAAGTTAGCCCTCAGCACAAAGGTGTGGGGGACTGGGGAACCCCTCGGGAAATACGTCGGTTTTCAAAGAATTCTCGCAAAAGCAAAAGTAACGCCGACTTCACCAAAATTGCAAAGGCGGCTCGCTTGCACTTCCCCTCAGGAAAGCCCTCAGCCCCTCAATGTATGGGGGACTGGGGGACTCCCCTCAGCAAGCACCAGAATATTCACTTGTATTCATAAACTATGGTCATATTCCGACGACTACTTCCAATGGTCACGCCCTCATATCGCGAACGAATCTCGACCACAACGTGATCCTGTATCTCATGCCGAAGGGTTCACCCCCTTGCTTCATTTTGGGGCATCCAGTGTACTCTTTTTTCCTCATTAGGACTTATTCCCACATGGTTTTATCCTAATGAGGTTTTTAACGAGGCATCTCCCCATTGTGGATCAAAAGGTGTCGACCCTCGGCCCTCGGCTACCTGCTGAAAACACACTTTCACCCAGCAACCCCTCGATGCAAAGACAATGTTTTCACTACTTCACAGCGACATCAAGGCAACCACCGGAGACTTCACATCACTTACTCCTATTTGCCTCGAGAAGCTCTCACCAAAAGGAGTGGGGGACTCCTGATGGAGTATATGGCCCAGGAACCCCCGACCCACATACTTCTACTACTACAGCCAGGCCCAACAGGCCCAAATACAACAAACAAGACTCCGGACAGCCCATACTCCAATAGGTTACTGCCTTCGGCCCCATGGCCGAAGGCCACACATTCGGCAAACAGTTACACTTGGTCGACTAACGTCACTGGGAAATTCAGGCTCAGATTACGTGCACCCTTCGGTATTTACAGCCTTCGGCATATACACAGCCTTCAGCTCATACATAGCCTTCGGTACAAGGGAGCCCCGGGTGCATGTAACCGAGGGCATTCTCCTCGACAGGATCTGCCCTCCACATGCGCTGGATCGCCGCATTGAATGCGAACGTCACACCCAAACCACCACATTAAATGCGGCCACATGCTATGTCGGCGCCACCCTGGCTGAATTGACCCTCCATCGCTGGTTGCTTGACACGTGTACCCTCGTTGACTAGACCTAGAATTTATGGCTGCTATAAATAACAGCCTCTTCCATTGTAATCGACACACAATTTATATATTGAACACACAACCACTCTCTCTTACTTATTGCTCTCATCTCTCTCTTGATATTCATTATAATATCCCTCGGATAAGCTACCCCTCGGGTACATTATCCATCAGATATATCAGGACCAATGTTTAAAAACTACTCCTTCCGTCACATCCAAAGGTTTTCACTTCCTTTTTCTGGACGTCAGAGATAAAAGTTCTTATTTTCTATTTTAGGAAGCAATTGAAACTCTGAAATAACAATTTAAACATCAAATATTGAAAATAATACCTCTATAACATCACAATTTTCATTACTAATTCATTATACTATATACCCATCAAAACTATTTCTCAAAGTATAATCGAATTAGTATTTTTAACTTTTTTCTAAATAATCGTGTCATTTTACAATAAGAACATTTGAACTTGACAAAGGTAGTAACAAATAAAATTTCATATTTTAAATATTTAGTTTTCGGTTTTTTTACCCACGATTAAAATAATACTCCCTCCGTCCCGCTAGAAGGTTCCCGTGAACGGTTTACGATGCTTGACTGACGATAAAGTAACTTAATCCCTTTTCACACTCTGATTAGTTTTAGTAAATAAAATTAATATATTCAGAAATTACATTAAAACCACTACAAATGCTGATAAAAAAATGTAAATTTGATAAAAATTTAATTTATAAAGTAAACTATTAAAAATGATTTAAGTTTGAGAGTGAAAATAGTGGAAGTGAATGGGAAGGAGGTAGTATCTCTCACGATAAAAATTCCTCTTTTTCTCTGCTCACTTTTCTATTTGTACCAGACGCTAACACAAATAGCCATGATGGGTGATAAAGAAATTCCAAAGAAAGCTTCAAGTGGCAACGGCTCCAGGAAGAGCAAGAAGAAGAAGAGAGGGGTTAGTAAGAGGAAGATGACCTCTGAACAGTCTTCCGCTTACAACTCTATCAGTGAATGGGTTTTCCTTGACCAGAGGAGGCCCGGTAAGATTCTTGATGATGATTTTCTGGTGCCATGGCATCAGCGCAAGGAGAAATTTGTGTTTGAATTGCACACCCATTCTACTCACAGTGATGGCTACTTGTCCCCTTCCAAGGTGGTTGAAAGAGCACATCAAAACGGGGTCAGTTTCTTAATGTATTCAGTGAATTTCAATTACCTTTTCCGTGTTGTAAATATGGAATTTCAGAATTAGTTTGCATTGTTTTATGCTGTTATTCGTTCGATTATATTCCATAAAGAAAATCAGAAGTGAGTTCTACTAATTGAAGCACAACCAATGGCGATTGATGTGTTGATTGATATAATCTGTCTGGTTGATATCTAAAGATGAAATATTGGTCAGTCACTTGAGCTACCTTTTCGCTTAATAATACTGCCGTGTTAAAATTTTAGAGCAGTAATGCAATAATCTTTGTAGTTTATTTGTTGTAGAGGGGTAGTGCTCACTATGAAAGTATACAGTGTGAGAGGTTTTGAGCCCATATGGTATGAGTCATATGGGTGAAACGGTTGAATCTTTTTGGCGAAGTCCTATTCTGCCAAAGAAGTAATTCAATAACTACTTATTCTGATGATTTTGGTAATTCTTCCGATAAGCAGAACAAGCCAACTCAGGTAGCCACAACCCACAATTTGTTTCTGAATTTATGTGATGACACCTGAATTTCTTGGCTCGTCTCGTAAGTTTTATCACATGTTATACAATTAATTATAACTCGTCAAGAATGATATGGTACTACTTGGGTTAGATGAGAGTATGATATTGAAGATGGTTATGTCACTTATGTGGAGGGAGAGCATACATGTGCTGGATTGAATTCCTCTTTCTCTATCTAATGTTTCTAACTCCAACATTCAAATGTTAGTTCATGTTAATCGACCCCAAACTCTTTTGGGAATAAGTCATGGATGTTGGTGCATTATACAGTTAATTAGTTCTAACAAGGTTCAGAACAGGTGAACGTTTTATCTTTGACTGATCATGATACAATGTCTGGAATACCTGATGCCCTAGAAGCTGCACACAGATTAGGCATCAAAATCATTCCAGGTGTTGAAGTCAGTACTATGTTCTCCCCAAGGTTTGCATTCATTTTTATTCTTTGACTTAATTATGTAGCTAGCTGGTGGGAATGATGACTCGTTTCTTCTGTTATTCTCTCTTATTATGCCATATTTTAAATTGGTTTGTACTTAATTCATACATATAGTCATGCCAACTTAAGTACTTAACTGCAATTTTGCTTAGTTTAGTCGAGTAACATGTATTGTCCCCGAGTATTATTCCACATCTGTTGTATGCTCAGTTGAGTCTAGTATATTTAATTGTGTGGTAACTGCTTGCTTTAATGTTTTTGGGGGGTGAGTTAGGCTGAATTTAGCATGGATTCAAGAGCTTGTTCCAAAAAAGGTTTATGGGTGCCCACATACTTGATGGTTTGGGGTAACCCATTTGGGGACTGGTTTGTGCCTATTTGTCCATCCTTCATTTTTCTAGCCTGACTTGGGCTTAGTATCATACATGTGTTGTTTATTGGACATTTGGATTTGTGTCTAGTATTTAAAAGACCTCACTTCTTAAAGAATTTTTTGGAGTTAGGCTCGATCTAACCGTCCATGTGTCATTTTTGAAAAACTTCACGATGGGTCCCCATTCTTAAATTGCGGGAACTCAAGCCTCACTTAGCTACAGAGCTAAATGAGATCCAAGTTGATTAAGGCAGGGACTAATGAGGGTTAGATGGAGATTTTTACAATGTTTATTTGTAAATTGCATAATTATTTACAGGGAGGAGTCTGGATCAGAAGAACCGGTTCACATCCTAGCATATTACAGCAGTTGTGGACCAACAAAGGTTGACAAGCTGGAAAATATGCTGTGTGCTATAAGGGAAGGACGTTTTGGACGTGCCAAAAACATGCTTTTGCTACTCAACAAACTCAAATTGCCACTTAAATGGGAAGAGGTACTGAGAATAGCAGGCAAGGATGTTGCTCCTGGGAGGGTGCATGTTGCTCGTGCCATGGTTGAAGCAGGATATGTTGAAAATCTACGGCAGGCTTTTGACAAATACCTTCATGATGGTGGGCCTGCATATGCTACGTAATATTTGCAACTCTTGTAGTTCTTTTATTCATACGTTTGTTTGCACACATATATTTGTGGCTGTATAATTGTATATGATATTATTATCTCATTTTTGTGAAATTCCTTGCCATGACCCAATTGAGTACAGCATACTCCGTAGATGTTAGACTCTCATTGAGTGCCTATACTTTTTGCGTCTTATGCCCCAGGGTAATTCCCTTTCTTAGTAATCTTGCGCTAGACCACAATCCGCTGCCTAGCAGGGGCCTAGCTCTTTTTACAACATTCTTAAAAGCCCATTTGACAAGGCTTGAAATGGTATTAGTGGTTGGCTGGTTGCTTTTGTTGAAGGTTGGTGAATCTGCTTGATATTCTAAATAAGTTGGTGAAAATGATTTCTAAAAGTAAAGGTAAAAGTATCAAGTTCATCTATTTTAGCCATTGCAGCCAAAAGAGTAACTCTATTTTCCACCTCATTATCAGCCGGTTTAGCCAAAGTTGTGTACTAAGTTAGTGTTTGGTGAAATAGTTTACTGATAAGGTATCATGGCTGTGTTATTCATCAGTGGAAGTGAGCCAGATATGGAGGAAGCTGTGAAATTAATATGTGAAACTGGAGGTGTGGCTGTATTGGCACATCCATGGACATTAAAGAACCCGGGGGCTATTATAAGAAGACTGAAAGCAGCTGGCCTTCAAGGGATAGAGGCTTACAGAAGTGATGGAAGAGTTGCATGTAAGTTCTCATGATATTTGATTGCTTTCTCCATCCTATGCATGTTGCGCAATTCATTCAGTTAAATAATAGAAAATAATTTCAGAAATATGATCATCTCTTATTTAATGATGGAGTAACAGTCTTAGGTATCTGTTTAATTATTTCATTGATTTTGTCATACCTTTTAATTTTTTAAAAGATATTTGCTGCTTCTAGGAGAAGTTAAAGTTTTGAGATACATGCATTTAAGGTTCCTTTTTTCTCAAATAGATGAGAAACAGCCTTCCAACCAAATAAAGAGTTTGATTCAAATCTTAAAAACAGTACTACAGACGTAACTTTTTTTATGGCAGAGGGGGTGATACTCGCTTCCCCTTCTTGGGGGGGGGGGGGGGGGGGGAGTGAGAGATAGGTACATTTCTCACCTTTTTCATAAATAGATGAGTAATAGCACGCCTAGTAGTTCCCATATCTAAATTTCCAAGAATATCTTGGAAATTTCACCCTTTTCCGGGCTTTGATGGTTTATGGTAGTCAATAGTCAGTGTTTGTTCGCACAATTAACTTTTTTATTTATAAATAACAGCGTACAGTGACTTAGCTGACACATTCAATCTAGTAAAGGTTGGAGGGTCTGATTTTCATGGAAAAGTGGGGCAGGAAGAGCCTGAGCTAGGAAGCGTGAGCCTCCCTGTGTGTGCTGTGCATGAGTTCCTGAAGGTGGCCCGCCCAATCTGGCGAAGTGCCATTGCACACATCTTGGAGAATTATATTGAGCATCCCACGGACTCAAGCTTACAGCCTATAATGAAGTATTGTTCTTATTATGAAAAGCCCAGAAGGAGTTCAGCTAATGAGTTGATCAGCCAATGCTTGGCTTCCTGGCTGACCAACGACGAAAGACAGAATGCAGAGTTTGAGGCCATCCAGCAGAAGCTTTGCGGCTTTTCTATTAACCAACAAAACACCACTGCTTTTGCTCTGGATAAGTAACTTTGGTTTTTCTATTAACCAACGAGGGAATGGGTTGCAAAAATAGTTTTGGTTAGAATTAATTTTATCTTTATTTGGTTTTTGGTTTTATCCACAAATTGCCCCAAGGTAATGATGTAAACTTATTATTGCAACGTATATGTGAGTTCCGCAATCATTCCACTTGGTACAGTTTTCATTTTTGGAGTATTTGTGATGTTTTTACGTGGACTTGGACCATAACAGTTATAGTCCAAATAAAAACATCATTGATCTGATTGTATCTTCTAGTCTTGAGTGCAGTTTTGTAAATAGTAATACCATGTAGGGGACATATACAATTTCGAAAATGACGTTATACATTGTGAAACAAATTTTAAGTATTCACTTAAAATTGATCGCAAATAATAATATGTGAGAATATTGGGTACAATCTCTAAATATAAATCCTCTGATTCTTCACTTGCAATTTGACATGAATATAATAAAAGAATTTAATTCAAAATTAAATCTTTAATTCTTCAAACGTTCGAACGTTCTTCAGATATTCAAATCTTCGTTCTTGAGATCTTCGAATCTTCGAATCTTCGTTCGTCGGATCTTCAAATCTTCTTGAATTAAGAATTCAACTTGAAGGGCCTCCGGTTTTCAAGTGACTTGATCTTCAACAAAAGAGCCGTTTTATGGCTTGATCTTCTATTTAAGGGCCTTTCGGGATATATGGCTTGATCTTCAATTGAATCTTGATTCAATCTTCATATGAATATCTTCAAATCTTCAAAGATTCGTTCTTCATATCTTCGAATCTTCAAAGTCTTGTTCTTCAGATCTTCGAATCTTCAAGCTTCGTTCTTCAGATCTTCGAACGTTCTTCAACTTTTGGACTTATTTTATCAAGAATCGACGAAATCACGAGTGATTATTCATATAATCTTGAGAAAATTTGTGGCTTGATATCTTCCTCTTCTTTGGAATCGTTTAGAGCCTCTCGGGAGTTCTCCAGAGCTATTCTGCAGCGTTTCTTCGACTGGAAAATTTTCTCCTATTCCTCTCAACTGAGACCCCTATTTATAGATATGTAGGGGATAAAATATGGCTTAGGGTTGCATGAAATTCGTTCACATGCTTAGGGCCTCAAAGAAAATGGGCTTTGAATTCTATTTGCTTGCATTTGATAGCTAGAAAAATCAGCACTTGTTCGATGTATCTGGAAAACCTTTTTAACAAGGTTCATAGCTATTTCTCATGCATATGGACTGATTTCTTGACTACATTCGTCCTCCTCTTCATATATTGGATCATGTCACTTATTTATTGGGCCATTATTTGATGATGGCCTCAAAATTAATAGGGCCGGTCCATTCTTTCAAGGAAGTAATTTATAATTAAATTAATTGGATATTTTAGATGACCCAGATTAATTTAATAACTAAATTTATTCCAATGGACCTATATTAATATTTTCCTTTAGATTAGACCCAACAACTGTTATGAGCACTCCAATAGAATCCAATGTTGGTCCATAGTGTCTAAATGAGGCCCAAGAAGGTCAATAATAGTCTGATACCATTTAAAGCGGCCCATTAAATTTTAAATATTCACAAATGCCCCCTCGAGACTTGCTCGAACTTTTCATTCTGAAAAGGGCGGGCCAGACTCGATAACTATTAGCCAAACTCAATACTTGAGTTTCTTTCTTGCATGATTAAGCCCAATAAAATACATCCGTGAATAAGTGGAGCCGCCGGAATATTGCATGATTATCCAAAATTAAGCGGAGCAAATAGTGTAACATATTGCCACTCTTACGCAAGATCAGGAGGAGTCCAATTGTTATTAAAACTTAGAATCTGATATGAAAGGAAGAAGATACAGAATAAATTTAAGAGATAGATATGTTATTAATAAGCTCTAAATAATTCTTCTTAATATCTGAAATTTTCTAAATTTCTGAGTTTCTGAGTTTTTTGTGTCACTTTACAATGAATGAAACAAGCCTTATTTATACTACCCAAGCTTATGGATGAATCATCTAGGAATGATTCTACATAATTTGCTGGCAGTATTGAATCTAGCCATTTGTGTGATTACAAGGATTTGTGTTTACTTAGTGTCCTGATTACAAGGATGAATATTCACACTTGTCAATTTGGTGGTTTTACAACACTCCCCCTTGAATGTTCATCCTTGAATATGTATTTGTAATTTTAAAAACTTATTGTGATAACGTGTGAAAATTAAGGGGTAGAGATTACGACTTATAATGTCGTTGTATTTGGATGTATCGTCTCGTTAAAAACCTTATCAGGAAAAACCCAGTGGGATAAAAACCTGATGAAGGAAAAAAGAGTGTAGTGCATTCAAATACTCCCCCTGAACTTAGGCTAAATTTTGAAGGCGACGCATGCCGATTTTCTGTACAAGTTCTATGAACTTCTTCAGGGGTAAAGATCTGGTGAAGAGATCAGCCGGATTTTCACTGGATCTGATTTGTTGAATGTTGATCGTCTCTTCTTTCTCCAGATCATGAGTAGAGAAGAATTTTGGTGATATGTGTTTCGTTCTGTCTCCTTTGATGTAGCCTTCTTTAATTTGAGCTATGCATGCAGTGTTGTCTTCGTAGATCACAGTAGGGTGAATAGTAATAGGCTTCATACCGCATTCATTTTGGATGTGTTGAATCATAGATCGTAGCCACACACATTCTCTTCCGGTTTCATATAATGTGATCAACTCAGAATGATTTGATGATGTAGCTGTCAATGTCTGCTTCATAGATCTCCATGAGATTGCGGTATTACCATAAGTAAATATGTACCCGGTTTGTGATTTGGCCTTTTGAGGATCTGATAAATATCCAGCGTCTGCATATCCGATTAAAGCGGCTTTTTCATCTTTGTGGTAGAATAGACCGAGATCAGCTGTACCGCGGAGATAACGGAATATGTGTTTGATCCCGTTCCAATGATGCATTGTTGGACATGAGCTGTACCTAGCTAATAAATTTACAGAAAATGCAATATCTGGTCTAGTATTATTAGCTAAATACATCAACGCTCCAATAGCACTCAGATATGGTACTTCGGGACCGAGTATTTCTTCATTGACTTCTTGGGGACGGAATGGATCATCATGTATGTTGAGAGATGGAAAGACCATTGGTGAAGTCAAAGGATGAGCTTTGTCCATATAGAATCTCTTCAACACTTTCTCGGTGTAATTGGATTGGTGGATGAAAATTCCATTCTTCAAATGCTCAATTTGAAGTCCAAGACAAAATTTGGTTCTCCCGAGATCTTTCATTTCAAATTCTTTCATAAGATATTTTGCACTATTTTCAATTTCATCGGGAGTTCCAATAATGTTTAAGTCATCAACATATACTGCAATTATGGGAAATCCCGAATTTAATCGCCGAATGAAAACACATGGACTAATTGGATCATTCTTATATCCTTCTTTAAGAAGGTATTCACTGAGACGATTATACCACATTCGTCCAGATTGTTTTAATCCATACAATGACTTTTGTAGTTTAATGGAAAACATTTCTCAAGGTTTCGAGCTATAAGCTTCAGGCATTTTAAATCCACCGGGAACTTTCATATAAATGTCTGTATCGAGTGAACCGTATAAATATGCGGTTACTACATCCATTAGGAGCATTTGTAGCCTTTCAAAAACAGACATGCCAATGAGAAACCTTAATGTAGTTGCATCAACTACTGGAGAATAAGTTTCTTCATAATCTATTCCCGGCATTTGGGAAAAACCTTGGGTAAATACCCATTTAAAGCCAACTGGTTTATATCTTACGATTTCATTCTTCTCATTGCGTTTACGCACAAATACCCATTTAAAGCCAACTGGTTTTACGATTTTTGGCGTAGGGACTATCGGTCCAAAAACATCACGTTTTTCAAGTGATTTTAATTCAGCGTGAATAGCTTCATTCCATTTTGGCCAATCATGTCGTTTCCGACATTCTTCTATTGATGTTGGCTCATTGTCATTGTTTTCATTCATAACATTTGTGGTAACGGCATAGACAAATATCTTATTAATATCAACATCTTTACGATTCCATTGTATTCCAGTAGAAACGTAGTTTATTGAAATTTCATAATTATCAACGTTTCTATCATTATCTGGAATATCTTCCTCGTTTAAGGAAGTTGGATCATCATTTGAGATGTTTGTTTTGTCAATATCATTTTCTATGCTAGTATTTTCAAATTGTTCATTTTCTTGTTCAGAAGGATGAACATCTTTAGCATCACAAATTAATTCCTGCCTTTTAGTTTTTCTTGGTTTTATGTCTTTTGATCCAAGTGGCCTGCCACGCTTTTTGCGTATAGAAGAATCATTTGCAAGATATTTTTCAAAATTTTCTGTTGGGATTTCGATTCTGGCAGGGGTATTCATAGCAGGAATATGTGACTTTGTCACTTTCTTTGTATTTGTGAACATATCAGGCAATTGATTTGCAACATTTTGTAAATGGGTTATCTTTTGCACATCTTGCTCACATATATTTGATCTTGAATCAAGATGTGATAATCCTGTTGCATTCTATGTAATTTCTTTCGTACTTGGATCTAATTTATTATTTTCTCCCCCTAAGGTTGGGAACACTGTCTCGTTGAAATGACAGTCTGCAAACCGTGCTGTAAATAAGTCACCAGTCATCGGTTCGAGATATTTTATTATTGAGGGAGATTCAAAACCAACATAAATTCCCAACCTTCTTTGAGGACCCATTTTTGTACGATGAGGTGGAGCAATTGGAACATAAATAGCACAACCAAATATCTTAATGTGTGCTAAGTTTGGCTCTTGTCCAGTTACTAATTGTATTGGGGAATATTCATGATATGCAATTGGTCTAAGCCGAATTAAATTTGCTGCATGTAAAATAGCATGTCTCCAAGCTGATGAAGGTAAATTATACTTCATTAATAATGGTCTAGCGATTAATTGTAATCGTTTAATCAAAGATTCAGCAAGACCATTTTGTGTATGGACATGAGCAACATGGTGCTCCACATCAATCCCAATCGACATACAATAGTCGTTAAATGATTGGGATGTAAATTCTCCTGCATTATCAAGTGAGATTCTTTTTATAGAATGATCCGGAAAATGAGCTCTTAATCGTATGATTTGAGCAAGGAGTTTAGCAAATGCTAGATTTCTAGTTGATAACAGACTGACATGTGACCAACGTGTTGAAGCATCAATTAACACCATAAAATATCGAAATGGTCCACATGGTGGAGCTATCGGCCCACAAATATCTCCTTGAATCCTTTCTAAAAATGCATGCGATTCAGTTACAATTTTGTTCATAGAGGGCCTAATGATCATTTTGCCAAGAGAACAGGCCTTACAAGGAAAAACCCTCGATATTGGAACTCTTATATTCTTTAATGGATGTCCAAGTGAGGTCTTAATGATTTTATGCATCATTACTTGGCCTGGGTGACCTAAACGGTCATGCCACAACATGAATGTTTTCTGATCATCTAACTTTGTGTTAGAAACCAAATTTATTTCAAATGGACTAATATATGTGAAATATAGTCCTGAGGAATATGCTGGCATTTTTTCACAAATATATTTAGTGCCAGATTTAGTTGTTGTAAGACAAATATATTCCTTTTGGTTTTCATTCATGGTTTCTATGTGATAACATTTTGATGCATATCTTTAAAGCTCAATAAATTTCTCCGCGATTTGCTGGAGTATAAAGCGTCATTTATAATAATTTTTGACCCGTTAGGGAGCATCACATATGCTTTCTCAGAGCCTTCAATGAGCTTCGCAACACCTGATATGGTATTGACTTTAGCCTCAACCAAAGTCATTTGAGAGAAATATATTTTATTTCTCAAAATGGTGTGCGTTGTGGCGCTGTCTATCAGACATAGGTCTTTATCATTTGAGTGATTCATATCTTCAATATATATAAACATAAGTTTGATCACAAATTATGCATATTATTTAACATAAGAGTATATACATTACACATATTTATTTAAAAACAAAATAAAAAGGGTAAGAAAGAAAAAGTAAATAAAACTAGTATTGTACAACATCAGGAGTCTACTATTTTATTTAGTAACATTTTGGTTTATGGCAAAAGCATCGTTCATAATGGCATCATCCGCGAAAAAGTCAGACACGTCAAATTTTGGCAGAGGTGGAGTTGTGTCATTGACATAATTAGCTTCCATATTTTTGCCTTTGTTCAAATTCATGGAAGCTTGAAATAATTCCACCAGATGTTTCGCAGTACGACATTTGTTAGCCCAATGCCCCGTCATGCCACATTTATAACAAGTCGTCTTTACCGAGGTTTTTGGAGGGCGATTTATTTGATGGGCCTTTTATTTGCCCTTGCCCTTATAATTTGGTCTATTGACCTGTTTATATTCTCGATGTGACTTGTTTTTATGACCATTAAAATGCTCACGTTTAAAATGTCTTCTACTGCAACTGTATGTTGCATTTGATTCAGTGGCTAAATTATGGTCAGATGGACCATAAACTGAAGGACTAGAACCAATGGGTCTCAGATTATGATTTTTCATCAAAAGGTCATTATGTCGCTCAACTACCAATAATACTGATATTAAGTCGGAGTATTTTTTAAAACCCTTTTCTCTATATTGCTGCTGTAGCAGCATATTAGAAATATGCATTGTAGAAAAGGTTTTCTCCAACATATCAGCATCAGTGACCTTTTGTCCGCATAACTTTAGTTTAGATGTTATTTGGAACATGACAGAATTATAGTCACTGATTGATTTAAAATCCTAGAATCTTAAATTGATCCAGTCATACTTAGTTGCTCTCTTTCTCTCTTCATATATAGTATTCTGTTACTCCTGTTGTACGAAGTACTACGTTTTCCTTCTTTCTTATACTTACTTATCATTTATTTATTATATAGTTGAGTACGTAGTTATAATTTATTCATCTCAACTTAATTTCCTCTTCTTCATATAAAGAGACTATCGAGATGTGAAAAGCGATACTAGCTAGTGCATTTCAAAAGGTATGTATTCAGATGATCTTTTCTTTTTAGAATGAAAACGAATTTGATTTTCGATCGGAAGAATCCTATTTTGATTAAATACTTATCATTTTCAATTTAGAAAAAAAAACTTATGTTTATACGGAGTAATATATTAGAGAAAATGATAAATCATGATTTACATACCTGCAGGAGGAGATGATGATTTCTTGGAGGTTTTGAGCAAATTCGTGCTGATAACGTGTTGTGAAATGAAGAAGATACATAATAAATTTAAGAGATAGATATATTATTAATAAGCTCTAAATAATTCTTCTTAATATCTGAAATTTTCTGAATTTCTGAGTTTCTGAGTTTTTTGAGTCAGTTTACAATGAATGAAACAAACCCTATTTATACTAGCCAAGCTTAGGGATGAATCATCTAGGAATGATTCTACATAATTTGCTGGCAGCATTGAATCTAGCCATGTGTGTGATTACAAGGATTTGTGTTTACTTAGTGTCCTGATTACAAGGATGAATATTCACACTTGTCAATTTGGTGGTTTTACAACAGAATCTTAATTCATCTATCAATTTTGAGTCCTATTATGACTCTTGCTATTATGGCCAATACCCAGTAGACTCTTCATGTATAAATATAACCCGTAGCCATCTATCTCTACGTCCTTTAATTTACTGATCTAAAAAAATTGGCTGCAGCCTTAGAGCATCTCAATTCATGATCTCTAAGGGCATCCTCATTGGGAGGATTATTATGAGATTAAATTGGTGACATGGTTGTTTTTTTAGAGAATTATCATTGAGTGACATAAATTATTTAATGGGATTATTTGCTACAATAATCTGGGATCAAAATATGAATCTCGATTATTTTAAGATTATTTGAAAAGTATATGTAATAGAAATTAATGCAGGACAGAGAAAAAACATATTATTTGAAGATGATGAGTGAGAGACATAAACGAATTTTGAGATTATTTTATAATTAATTACATGACAATATTTAAATGGTAAGAATCATAAAAAAATGATTATTAGAGATCATGAATGAAGATGCTCTAATAATCAATTTTTTATATGATTCTTACCATTTAAATATTGTTATGTAATTATTGTAAAATAATCTCAAAATTCGTTTATGTCTCTCAATCATCATCTTCAAATAATCTGTTTTTTCTGTGTCCTGCATTTATCTCTATTACATATACTTTTCAAATAATCTTAAAATAATCCGGATTCTTATTTTGATCCCAGATTATTGTAGCAAATAATCCTATTAAATAATCTATGCCTGATAATTCTCTAAAAAAAACTGCCATGTCACTAATTTAATCTCGTAACAATCCTCCCAATGAGGACACGCTTAGGGAAATAGATCAGTAAATAAACAGGTATTATACTCTTTCTTTCTAATGACCTCTTTGTTTTTTCCTGTCAATTTGCATCAGGTAGAATTTCAGGCAGGCAAATATCATCCGTACCAAAAAACCATCTCAGTTGATCAACATCAGCTCCCAATCGGCGTGAGAAGACTTGGAGGCTTGTTTTTTTTTCGCCGATTAATCTGGGAGGAAGCAGAGATTTTTAATTGATCGTTGTTTGTTGCTCAAGTGCTAAGAAGCGAAGAGGAGACTGGCTCTTGGTATCGTCGGGGAGCAAGATCTTGCCGCCGCCGCCGCTGGATCGATGAGTGATTGAAATCTTAATATGCCGGAATTGTTGCTCTCATACATTCTTGGAAGATCAGATGCCCATGTCAGCCGTTGTCGTTGGAAGCTGAGGCGATGTTGTTGGAGGATGAAGATTCGCAAGTCTATTTTCCCTGCGTGCGAAGAAGCTGACGGGAAGATAAGCCGAACCTGCTGAAGGAGCTGGTTTTAATGGGCTTCATTACTTTTTAGGCCGGCCTATTCATGAGTTTATTCTTCACCTTTTCAAGACAGGAGCTATCTTCAACAAAAATAATATCGAGGCACGATTTTCTGTTAGGCCTATTGTTGGTGGTCGGTGCTGCTTGGGGCCTTTTGTTGGGCTAGTAGCATCGATCTAAAGAATTAGGGCGATTGCTAGTAGTCGGTATCGCTTGGGGGCCTTCGTTGGGCTAGTGATACTGATCTAAAGAATTAGGCCGATTTCCGACCGTCGATGTCGCTTGGGGCCCTTCGTTGGGCTAGTGGCACCGATCTAAAGAAATAGGTCTATTGCCGGTTGTCGGTGTCGCTTGGGGCCCTTCGTTGGGCTAGTGGCACCGATCTAAAGAATTAGGCTGATTGCCAGTCATCGATGTCGCTTGGGGCCCTTCGTTGGGCTAGTGGCATCGATCTAAAGAATTAGGCTGATTGCACCTGTCGAAGACTGAGATGTTGCCGCTACTTTCGACCTTTGTCCATTCTGAAGGAGCTTGACTAATTATTGGCCATTGTTACTGATTTCTTTTGTTCGTCTAGTCAGAAGATGAGGCCAATTGCTCGGGCTTGAGATTGATTATCATCGCTGAGCGGCCTTTTTTTTTTATTATTATTACTTTAGTTTTTTTTATAGTAATAATAATGATGATGATTTTTTTTTGCAGTCCAAAATGATATATTTTAAGGACGTAAGGCGTGGAGGCAAAAAGTATCTCTAAATATCAACGAGGAAGAAACATGACGAAGAGATTCTTTTGGAGATGCACAAGTCATTTGCTCGCGAGTTTTGGGGTCCAACGATTGTGTCCTTTCGAGTTACAAACTGGACTCCTGAGTGCGAGTATCAAGCTCAGACAATGCGGACTTTAGTATCTGGCTTTACTCACATGTGCTCTTATGAGATTCTTCCTTTTTTTCCATCAAGGTAGACGTATCCTTGATGAAAACATCCCTTTGACAAAGACCTTATCATTTAGTGGTGAGTTTAGATTCATCATAGGTTATTGGGACTGGGCCGAGGATATTTTGAGCATGAGTAAAAGCGTTCTGGAGGAAGGGCTTATTTACGATGCTGTTTATGCCTCATTATTCACGTATGACCGATGTACTAATGCGATTCAAGCATTTTGTGAGGCATGGTGTCCCACGACGAATACTTTTTCAATTGGCGAATTGACGATCACACTTTGGGACTTGCACATTTTTGGAGGATTGCCTATTATAGGAGACGCATATGATGAATCTATTCCGGGCACTTCTGAGTTGTTAAATACGAGCGCTGACCGTTCACTTTATCTCTGCAAATATTTGTTTCACGCATATCATCATCTCTTTCCCAAAGCCGGAGATAAGCGTGTTTTGCGTGTTCATGCGTGGGTCAAATTCTGGTTCAAAAAGGCCTCCAAGTATACCATGCCTCCAGTGAGAACAGAAAAGAAACGAACATCTCGTGCCAAGGCGACCCATAATCCGAGCGAAGCTATTCCAAAATTTGGAGGATGGTCGAATTCTATGAAGGTATCATTCCACGTACTTAAGGTTCCTGTTGAATATGAGGAAGAGGTATATTTAGCGACATTTTTATCGTGTTGGCTTTGTGCATTTGTATTGCCGCATGAAGGTCCTAGAGTTATTCGCCCGGAAACATTCAGAGTTGCTTGTATGTTGGCTCGAGGGAAACGTGTATGCCTTGCGGTCCCGGTTCTTGCTAGTGTCTATCATGGGCTTAATCGGATCTCGAATGCTCCAGCTCTTGATCAAGTTAGAACGTGTTTTCGTGTTCACTATGTCTATGGATGGTTGGCATCATACTTTGATACGCATTTTAAGAATGAGATTCGGTCCACGACGCCATTAATGATTTCTTACTCGGGAGAAAGTGGAGCGAGATCCCTCGAGAAGAGAAGCGCGCGCAAACGAATTTTCCTGGGAGATGTATCAGCATGGGTGTGTTCTACACATCAGAGAATCAAAGAATATTCATTCTTCGATGGTAAAAATCCTCTAGAGGCAGAGTTGGCGCGTTTTAGGAGTATTCGGACTAATTATCTTGTATTACGGTACCAGGATCATTGCATTGCTGAGCCTTACACTCCTCACCGCTTTAGTCGCCAATTTGGGTATTTTCAGGCTTATGGTCCTGACTTTCTTGAGATGCGTAATCGGAGTGTCACACTTGCTGCTGGCTTTCAGCTTTGGCTACAGTTTGAGCATGGCATGTCACAAGCTGAAGCGGTATTTCCGACCCCTCCTACTATTCCAGCGAAATTTTATTCCTTGCAGTGTAAAGAATGGTGGGGTCAAGTCCATGGAAGTTATTTGGAGAATCATGTGAGCGACTTGATCAAGATTTGCGATCTTGCGGTTGATGATGTGATTACCCCTTCAGAACCTGTGACTCCGGTCTCCAAGAAGAAAAAAGTGCCTGATACTGAAGCTAAGTCTTTGCCTCAGAAAAAGGCTAAGCTCGCAGCACCTAGGGCTGAAGTTTTGATCAAGGATGCTGAGAAGGAATTGTCTCCAGCCAAGGAAAGACAGAGTAGTGATGAGAGGAACTGGAAACATCTTAGAAAACCTCATGTAGGGCCACTGAAGGTTAGTCTCATTATTTCTCAGTTTTGTTTAAAGCTTGTACTTATATTTTCTTCCTTCTTTTGCAGATTCATGCAGTCCTTGATGATGCTAGTTCTTCGAATCATTTTTCTTCATCTAGCTCAAGTGAAGGGGAAAATGCTGATTACGACACCGTTGCTGGGTTGATAGCAAAAACTGGCCCAAGTCATTGCAAAGAAGTTCCGACTTACGAAATACCCAAGTCTCCTCATGCGAAACCGGCTGCATCTGTATTCCATGCGGAAGACTACTTCTTTACTTTGTTTAAGTAGTTCATCATCAACACTTGGAGCGGTATTCAAAAAAAGTTAGGAAGAGCTACAACAGAGAACGTTTCTTCTCTTCGGGAGAGTGTTGAGAATTGTATTAGCCTGATGGAGAAAGAGGGCATTGACCTTTCCATGTTGAAGACGAGAGTGAAACACTTCTTTGAAAGGGCGCAAACATTTGATCAGACGTGCTCGACTATTGTTGACAAGGTCCCTTCAGAGAAACAATCTGAGGAATTGGCTATGTCGCAGGCCTTTTGTGAAGACATTGAAGCCAAGAGATCTCAAAACCAAGTGTCATTACTTGATGATGAGAAATCTCTTAATGATATCAAGAAGAAGATGGCCTTATTGGAAGCTGAGGCTAAGGAAATAGAAGTTTCGATCTCCAAGCGTTATGTAGAGGCTAGTGACTTAGATGCAGCTCTCACGAAGGCTAAGGAGGAATCTTCACGGATTTTGAAGACTATCAAAGCATCAGATGAAGATCAACTTGCTTTAAGCACTCAGAAGAAAGAGCTAGAGGCCTTGAAGGATGACTTAGTTAGCTTTAAGTTGTTTTTAGGCTGATACTTAGCTCCTAGATTAGCCTTTTAATCAGCAACCATCTCTTTTCTTTACTTCTTGTCAAACTATATATGGATATTTGCTTCTTCTGTTGCTTCTTCTATTGCTTCTCATGAATTGATATTGCCTTACTTCTTTTTTTTCTTCTGCTTCAAATTGACTGAGGTTAAACTTTATTGGGGGTTGGTGTTGTTATAACTGAACTCAAAAATGAAACTTTTGAGCTGCCTACGTACCCCTATGAAGGAGATCAAGTCAAACGTAGTTCAAATATACCATTTGAATTGGTAATTTAAAGGGACCGTACACAGTTTTAACTAGGGGTGGGATCGGTCCGGTCCAGGTCGGGTTTTTGCTAAACCCGGAAATTACCCGTAAGACATCGGGTTATGAAAATTAGGGACCGAAAAAATCCAACTATATTCGGTCCGAGTCGGGTTTTTAGTAGCCCGGGTTCGGTCCGGGTTCGGGTTGGGTCGGTTAAAGCCCGAATGTGAAATCACTCATTTTCTTTTATATTTTAAAATCTATTTTCAAATAAAATTAATAAAAAGTACAAACCACAAATAAAATTAATAAAAATCACAAATATTAGTCTCCAAGATCACCAAGAATTCAAATCCAAAGAAGACAATTATCATAATATTTTGTTTAAGATGCATAAAAATAAGTAATATAGGTGTTCTAAAAATGTTATGAAATAAAATTTATGGAAAAAAATGTAACCAAAGTTACTATAAATATGTTTTCATGGTCATTACGGTAAATAAATTGAACATATTTGTAGTCACTAAAAGTTTTTAAGTCATTTTTCGTCCATCATGATTATAATCATAAATTAGGAATTAATTTATAAATTATATTGGTATATTATATTGATTTTATATTAAGGCTAATTGTTTCAGGTTTTATCGGTCCGGGTCGGGTTTAGATTTTAGGGCCCGTTAAAGAGCCCGAAGTTTCGGGTTCAGTCCAGGTTTTTTTTAATCGGGCCGGTCAAAAAGAAAAAACCCGGACCGATATCATAATTCGGGCTGGGCTAGGGCCGATTTCCGGGTTTCGGTTCGGGGTTTCCCACCCCTAGTTTTAACTCGTGCGGGCCAGGAGCTTGACGTACACATTTTAAACTCTCGTGGGCCATGAGCTTGTCGTACACATTTTAAACTCTCGTGGGTCAAGAGCTTGCCATACACATTTTAAACTCTCGTGGGCCAAGAGTATCTATGATTATGTTCACCCATAGACAAAGTGAGATGTTTTAGCAGTTTAGCCACTTACAACATCATTAGTGGTTTAAGCCATTCAACATTTCTTATGGCCATATCTATACCCCAAATATCAAGGGTAGTAGAGCTTTAAAAATCTTCCATTGATCGGGCCAATCTTTGAGCCATCTCCATCGACCAACTTGTAGGCACCGCCTGAATATACTTCTTGAATAACATAAGGACCATCCCATTTAGGTGAAAATTTGTGCCCCGTTTTTCGTGTGATAATGATAGGTCTTCTCACAGCTAGAACTTTATCGCCAACTTGGAATGAGCGAATTCTAACCCTTTTGTTGAATGATTTCGACAGACGAGCCTGATAGCATTCTAGGTTCTGCTGAGCTTCTAACCTCTTTTCATCAAGTGCCTCGAGTTCTGTCAACCGCAACTTGACGTTTTCTTCATCAGTGAGTCCTTCTTGAATAGCCAATCTCAGAGATGGTATTTGGCGCTCAAGGGGAAGGACTGATTCGGTACCATACACCAAAGAATATGGAGTGCTTTGGGTAGGTGTTCGATAAGTCATTCTATATGCCCATAATGCTTCTTCCATTCTTTCGTGTCAATCTCTCTTTGATTTTGATACTACTTTCTTCAACAGGTTGCATAGAGTCTTGTTAAAAGCTTCAGCGAGGCCATTGGCGGCAGCATAGTACATAGAGGACTTCCGTTGCTTGAAATCAAATAACTTTCATATCTTGTCCATCAACTTGTTGTCAAAAGGTTTCCCATTGTCCGTCAAGATATATCGGGTAATGCCAAAGCGGTAGATGATATGAACTCGGATGAAATCAGCAACATTTTCCTTCTTCACCTCTTTCAATGCAACTGCTTCGACCCATTTTGAGAAGTAATCAGTAGCGTCTAGTATGTATGAATGTCCTCATGATGAGCTAGGCGTGATTGGTCCAACCACGTCAAGTCCCCAAGCGTCAAATGGCCATGATGCTACTGTCGGATGCAAAGGCTCCAGTGCTTGATGGATGAAATTTGCGTGATATTGGCATGCTTGACATCTTCTAGCATAGTCCATGTAATCATTTACCATGGTCGGCCAATAATATCCCATCCTCTTGATATGAAAGTGCAACTTAGGACCAGATTGATGAGCTCCACATACTCCTGAATGTGCTTCTTCCATTGCTTGTAAGACTTCATCTCCACCCAAACACCTAAGGAATACACCATCGAATGATCTTCGATAAAGTGTATCCTTATAGTAGATGAAACGCGGTGAACACATCTTCAAGTCTTTTTTCTTGCGGGGATTTTCAGGTGATTTCCCATCAGTGAGATAATCAATGAGCGGCTGCCTCCAATCTTCATTTTCAATATCATAAACCGAGGTAGTTGGCATCTCGACTATCTCTTCGGCTGCACCATCGTCTCTGATGAATGGAGGAATTACCCATTTTTGACATACCCGTACTTGAGTTCCGTCGTCAAGGTGTGCCATGTTCGATGCTAACCCTGCCAGTGCATCAGCTTGCTTGTTTTCCTTTCTCGGCACGTGTTCAATTGTAACTTCACCAAGCCATCCTATGAGTTCCCTTGCATATTTGTTGTAAGGATGTAGTTCAGGTTTCCTTACTTCATAAATTCCAAGCACTTGATTGATGATTAGTTTTGAATCACCATAGATATTAACTCGTGTTTGCTTCATGTCTACAACTATTTCAAGTCTGAGAATGAGTGTTTGGTATTCAGCGACGTTATTGGAGCATGGTTCCGTAAGCGTGAAAGCATATGACAGAACTTCACCTTCGGGTGTAACAAAGACCACACCAGCTCCAACACCTTCTCTATGTGCAGCTCCATCAAAATATATCTTCAATGGAGGCAAAACATTAATTATGAGTACATCTTCATCAGGTAGGTCATCAGAAAGCTCCCATTCAGCAGGGATTGGGTGATCGGCTAAGAAATCCGCCAAAGCTTGTCCTTTTACAGACTTTTATGAGACATAAACAATCTGAAACTGTTGAAATATCAAGTACCACATAGCAAGACGATCCGATAGAACCACTTTGGACATCACATACTTCAGCGGATTTGCTCTGGAGACAAGATTTATTGTGTGAGCTTCAAAGTAGAGTTTAAGCTTCTTGATTGCAAATATAAGAGCCAAACACAATTTCTCAATGGGCAAGTACTTCAATTCATGTGGGGTCATCATTCTGCTTAAATAATAAAGGGCATTCTCCTTCCCTTTATCATTTTCTTGAGCTAATAGAGCTCCCACAGACCTTTCTTGAGCAGCAATGTAAAGTATCAAAGGGCGACCAACGACAGGCGCATTTAGGACCGGCGATTTCATCAAATAAGCCTTGATATTTTCAAACGCATTCTCACACGTTTGGTCCCATATGAAAGGTACACCCTTTTTCATAATCCGACTAAACGGTTGGCATCTTCCCAATAGATTCGAGATGAATCTTCGTATATAAGCTAGTTTCCCTTGCAAACTCTTCAACTCATGAATGTTTCGAGGCTCCGGCATATTCACAATAGCGTCAATCTTGGCTTGTTCTATCTCAATGCCTTTGTGACGAACAATAAATCCTAGGAATTTCCCGGCCGAAACGGAGAAGAAAAACCGCGACTCGTGTGTGCGGGTGACCTGTGGACACGAATGCCGTCCGGAAATCTATCATTCAATGATACGATTTAATTTTTGTTTCTTCCCGTAACGTTTTATTTTTCTAAGGGTCAGAAGTGCTCCGCTTCTGTCCGGAACAGATGTGCTCGACTTCTGTTGGCAATTAGGGATGCTCCGTTTCTGTCCGGAACAAAAGTGCTCGAGTTCTGTTCGCACCAGAACTGCTCCTCTTCTGGTGGGGGTATTCTGGTCGCACACCAGAACTGCTCCTCTTCTGGTGGGGGTATTCTGGTCGCGCACCAGAACTGCTCCAAGCCGTTTCAACAATAAATGCCCAACGTTCTTCTCTTTTTATGCTGTGTTAAATGGACAGTTTATGGACGATTCAATGCCCAACGGACTGGTCATTGATATCCAACATTCAGGTCCATTAACACTACATTTAACACACAACAAATCCTCCTATAAAGAGTTGGCAGGTGGTTTGCAACAACACAACACACAATACATTCCTCACGTTTTTTGAGCTTTAAAACACTTCTAGCTACTCCGAAAATTCCTGAGTGTTCTGCATTTGTTCCCATTCGCCGGAACTCTCGTTTGTGTGCTCAAACGTTAGTTCGTTAGCCACCGTATCCTGGGAAACGGTCGTTGCAACGCTCCTAGCACCGTGGGAGGTGACGAATACGTTTTAAGGACATCGTGCGTAGCATGAGCTCTGGCTAAACTCTGTTCCATCTTATTTCTGTTTTTCTTTAGCTATTTAAATTAATTAATTATTTTTATTAATTAATAATTCTTCTTTTTTCCCAGACACACCCAACAATTATAACCGGAGAAACCATCCATAAATGACATAATTTCATGCCCAGTCACAACATCTATCATCAATTCAATGATGGGAAGTGGAAAGTCATCTTTTGGACAAACAAGGTTAAGATCCCGAAAATCAACACATATTCCGATTTGTCCATTCTTCTTTCTGACCGGGACAATGTTGGATATCCAAGTAGGATATTTCACTTCTCGAATGAATCCGGCCTCAATAAGTTTATCAACCTCAGCCTCGATTAATGGAATTAAATCTGGGCGGAAGCACCTTTGAGCCTGCTTTACTGGTCGATATCCTTTATTTATTGCTAGGTGATGAACATCGATTTTTGGATCCAACCCCCGCATTTCTTTGTATGTCCATGCAAAGACATCCTTGTATTCTTGGAGTAAGGCCACATATTC